GGGCTACTGAAGAGTAGCAAGATCTCGGTTTGACAAGGGGCACAGGAAATCAGCGTAGTTTTATAGAGTAAAACTATTCTATCAGCAGCACACTCGTTTCCCTGCACATGGCTAATCAAAGGAGAGGAAGTGGCCAGCCTGTTCAACTTCAGCCAAAAGTCACCAGTGCTTTACTTAACATTCAGGTGATCGTGCTGTTTGGAATCTACCTTGATTACTGTCTTCTAACTTGTTAGCTTATTAAGGACGCAGTGAAATACACAGATCCTCGAAGCCACAAGCTTTGCTTCCCGTCACTCTTGCTTGTAAGACTAGAACTCACGTGGTAGGAGAGAACCCAGTCCTGCACAAGCCAGTCCTCTGACTTTTGCATGTGGACCAGGGCATGTGCCCACACTGCATAAATAAACATCATTTTTAAATTTTGTAAAGGCTTTAGTATCTATAAACCTAAACCCTATCTATTACTGTTTTACATAAATTGTCAACATTATAATAGAATTTGTTGTATAATTTTATTTTTTTATATTAATTACAGTTTATTTACTTTGTATCCCAGCTGCAGCCCCTTGGGTTTTGCTTTGGAGAAGGGATCAGCGAACTGTGTCCACGGAAGGCTAGCTTGCAAATATTTTAGACCCTGATGGGCCATCCGGCGCATGCTATTCAACTCTGCTGTTGCAGCACGAAGACAGCTATGAATAACTGGGTATTGTTACATCCCAGTAAAATTTTATTTACAGAAATAGAAAGCAGAGACTGAAGAGATGGCTCAGTGGATAAAGGTGCTTGAAGTGGAAGAACAGGACTAAGTTCAAGTCCCAAGAACCATATAAAAGGGAACAACAGATATCCGTGCCTGTAACCCCAGCACTGGGGGTCAAGATTGGCAGATCCCTGGCAGTTGTAGACTTGTCAGCCTAGTTGAAACCACAAGCTTCAAGTTGAGTGAGAGATCCAGTCTCAAAAAAATAAGGTGGGGGTTGGGAATTTGGCTCAATGATAGAGTACTTGCCTCGCAGTGTGGGTTTGGTCCTCAGCTCTGGAGAAAGAAAAATAAGGTGGGTAACTTTATTCATCTTTTAACTTCCACTTATGTGTTCAGGGTACACCCTCAGTGTACACACACACATCAGACAACAGGCCAGATGTGGGGTGTAATGCATCAACTCCTGCTCTAAAGAGAGGGTCTCACATTGTATGTATCATACTCACCTGCACAGCTGAAAATGTAGGTTCCTAGGCTCTAGTCACCCTTAGAAAGCCAGTCCCTGAGGACCAGTTCTGGCAATGAGCAGTTCACTGAGGTCCACGAGTGGTGTGTAAACCATACTACAGAAAGTTCAGTATTATTATTGTGGGGCTATCCACCAGAGAAGACTGCTCGGCTATGGGTTGGAGCTGATAGAAAACCTTAATTAACTGGCCAATGACTACACTGGGTGTTTGGGTGTTCAGGAATTATGGAGTTGTCCTGGTCTAGTTGCATTGAGAGGTATGTGTCATGGGTTTGTCAGACTAGAGCCCATGGTTCCTGGACACTGTGTGCCTTTCAGTTCCTGAAAAATCTGCGGCATTCCCTCAGGCAGTGACGTGTTCAGGCCCCCCGTGTTTCTCTGCATTCCCTAGAAGTCAGCAAAGCATACAGAGGCTTGACAGGACAGTTAGTCTTACCTGTAGCGCTGACAAATGTCATAGTACCCTGGCAACTATGATTGCATCGATCCTGGCAACCTCCATTACATTCTGTTTTTAATAAAGGTATAAAAGGTCTGATTGCATGCAATAAAATCGTCTCAGCCTCAGTCTTGCCGAGACCCCTCCATCCTGGACCGCTTTTTATTTCTCGCCAACCATATCAGAAAACACTGGCTTGGATCCCAGTGTGGCACCAAGCCTTTCTCAGGGTGAGCTTTTAAGCACAAAACATATTCTGGGCAGCTGTATGGACTGGCTAGTTTCCTATCAACTTGACACAAGCTAGAGTCATCAGAGAGGGGGGAGCCTCAGCTGAGGAAGTGCCTCTAGAAGATTCTGCTGTAAGAACTTTTCTTCATTAGTCGTCAATGGGGAGGGCCCAGCCCATTGTGGGTGGTGCCTTCCCTGGGATGGTGGTCCTGGGTTCTATTTGAAAGCAGGCTGAGCAAGCCAGTAAACAGTGCACTCCACGGCATCTGCGTTAGCTTTTGTCTCCTGGTTCCTGCCTTCACTGTTTATATGTAACTGTGAGTGAAAACACAAACTTTCCTCCCAAAGTTTCTTTGGTAATGCTGTTCCATCACAGCAATAGTAACCCTAACTAAGACAACATACTTCAGTTAACAAGAATAGTTAGCCAGAAGTGGAACTACCTAAGCCAAAAAGCAAGGTTAGCACATTTAGAGACTTTCCCAGAACTATACACTTTGATGATTAGGTCATCATGCTGAGTTTTATGGCCTGATTGATACTTCCATCACAGAGTCTGTTGTGCTAAGATCTGGGGACTTACTAGGTCTGGGGCCCTGCTACACTCCCCACTTGTCTTAATGAATGAGTCAAACTGTGGATTCATCCTACTTTAAAGAGGTATAGTTGGTCCTAAGGACCATTAATTTTACTGAACTGAAATATAATTGGCTGTGTAGTTTAAGATGCAGGGCCCTGCAGTTAATACAGCCAGAATGAGAATTAAAAACCCAGCCTGTGGTGTTAACAGAGTTGCTAGCTGGTGGGGAAGGGGGAACCAAGAGAAAAGAGATTGGTATCAATTGTTTGATTAATGTCTTTATCTCATTCTTTTATTTAAAAAATATTTTTTATGAGTGCTCTATCTGCATGTAAACACACATGCCAGAAGAGGGCATCAGATCCCAGTATAGATGGTTGTAAGCCATCATGTGTTGCTGGGAATTGAACTCAGGTCCTCCGGAAGAGCAGACAGTGTTCTTAATTGCTGAGCCATCTCTCCAGCCCGTCTTATTCTCTTTCTGAGATTTTTCACAACCATAGCAAGATTTTATCTCATTGCTCCTGATCAATTAGCTCAGAAACAAGTTTCTTCCAAAGCCAGGCATACTTCCCTTTGTCTCATGAGAAGTCCAAGCCACTCTGATTTTGTAGGACCATTTCTGTAAGGAATCTGTTTTAATTCAGAAATGGAAACTTAATACCTTCAGGTCCTGATCAACCTGTTTATTTAGTTTGGAAAGCATCAGAAGAGGCACATTTAGTCAAACCATTAGTACATGCCCACCAAACTGTCTCAGGGGCTCGGTAATATTGCTGTAATCCAGATGAATTAACCTGTAGCAGGCATCAGAATAAGGGGCAGTGTATAAAGCGTTAAAGGATATTAGACAAGTCTCAGCCCACTGCAGGTCTTCCAGTATTATTCTGGCTACCCGCAGTTACAGTGGGTTTTGCTGGTCAGTGGGCTAACAGTGTGGTTAGTTCTTAGCCTTGTGTAATCCAGGGGCTGGGTGTCTAGCAGAACCAACAGTCCTGGCCAGTTTATGTCTGGGAATAATTAGCTAAGCAGTGGACCTTTTCAGGACTGGAAATAGAAAATTTCTATTTTCTCAGGATCCCTCAGGTCCTGGACATCAGGAGGTAGGACTCTGACCCTGGGTGTGTTTGAGACCTGGTTGTGTCTGGGGACCTGAGTGGTATAGTTCTTGGTAAGCATATCCCCAGGGTCCCTTCCTGTGGCATAGAGTCTGAGTCTCCAGATTTTCCCTGTTTCTAAAATGCCAGGAAAAGTTTAAAGGAATTTTCCAGGAAGCCCCAGTTTCACAACCACAGTTTTTGCAATAGAAACTCCGTTGTCCCCTGCAACTAGGAGCCCAGCTGCAGGACATGCGCACAGTTGTAAACTCTGTGTTCCTATATAAAAAAGATAAACTGCCATATCTTTCCTTTTCAAATACAACCTGACACTTCAAGTAGACATCGGTGAGCAAAAGTCAAGATGCATATGAATTGCTCATCTGTAATCACATGAGCTAATGCCTTCCCTGTGTCTGTCTTCCTTAGTTCCCAGGTCCAGCCTGAGGTAGCAGTGGGTTGACCTGAGGAGGTGCAGGGGCAGGGAATCCAAGGGTTCGGTGCCTGGTAAAACCTTAATTTTAATGGGTCCGTAGTCCAGGAGACAGTCCACTTGGCAGCAGTGTCTGGGGCCTCTGCAGCTTCGGCTTTCTTGACCTGGTGTGATAGATTCATGGACCCAGCTACCTTCACAGCTATAGGGATGAAGAGAATCACCACCTGGTGTCCTTTCCAAGTTGGTTCCAGCACCCCTTTGGCTACCCGCTTAACCCAGATGCTATTACTGGACCTGAACGAGGGGAAACTGGTGGTTGAGTCTCTCAGATAGTCCAGTGAGTAGCCTGGTATTGGGTCACACAGACATTGCACAGCCAGCTTTCTGGTGTTCCTCAGAGGAGGGCTTCAATGGCATCTTATACTCTGTGAGTATAAGATCTTGACCCAGAATTACTGTTTTTCATTAGAGTAGGTGTGGCACTCTGTGGCTCCCGGCTCCAGTCATTTGGGCAGGTATGCCACAGGGTGTTTGCATGGCCCCAAAGTTTGGGCTAAAACTCCTTTTGTAATGCCTTTTGTTTCATGGACAAACGGATGAAAAGATTTTGAGACATCTGGAAGTTCTAGGCCTGGAGCTAAAGTCAGAGTTGTTTTTAAAGCCTCACCCACACACGAAACACCAATGCACATACAATAAAGATTAAAAAAAAAAAAGATTTTAACTAAAAACTCCTCACTTTCTTTAGATTCCAAAATCACTAGCAGACAAAATTCACACCAAAAGACAGGGCTAAACCTCAAGAAAAAGTTTCTGACGTGCTGTTTCCTTTAAACTATCACCAGCAAAAGTCTGCCTCAGTGCTTGAAATTTTACCAGTAAGAAATTAGTTTGTCAGAAGGCCTTGGTCTCAACAAAGTCTTATTAAAACTCACATAAGAAGAGAAAGTATAATGTCACTGTAGGCTTCTAGGGGTGCTCCCAAAGTCAACAATCAATAAAAAATAACACTGGCTAAATTGAAGAAAGCATGTTTTAATTGTCAAAATCAGTCACCCCCATCTAGATGTCAGAGCAAGTGATGTGCAGTTTGGGGACAATCCCACTTCTTCAGCTCTCCAGGTTTTCCTAGGAAGAACAGTAAGAATTAATCAAAAGAATGGTCCTTAGGAACTCTCTAAGAATCTAGGGAATATCTGCAGATTCCTCCAGAGACTATCACATCTCTTACCACAACGTCCATTAATCCCAGAAACCGAAAGGAGCACTCTAAGATGGTGGAAACTCTACAAGTTATGAAGTTACAGGCTTAGTGTTTGTCTTCTAATGAGAGAAAGCAAGAAAAGATGTGAATTTAGGTGGTTGGGAAGGTGCACAGATCTTAGAGAAGCTGGTGGAGGAGAAACTGGAATCAGATGTAAGATAGGAAAAAAATCCATTTTCAGTAAGAAAAATAAATTAATTTTTTAAATGATAAAGGTGCCAGACAGTGGTGGTAGGCAGCTTTAATCCCAGCACTTGGGAGATAGAGGCAGGTAAATCTCTCTGAGTTTGAGGACAGCCTGGTCTATAGAGGGAATCCCAGGGCAGCCAGGGCTACACAGAGAAACCCTGTCTCAAAAAAACAAAACAAACAAACAAAAACCAAAAAATATAAAGGTTCATAATACCTCCTATACTCAACTCTACAATAGATGAGACTAGCTGTTTTATTTTGATTTTTTTCTATTAAGAACTTTTTTCATACAATGCATTTTATCATATTTTTCCTCTCCCTAATTCCTCCCAGATCTTCCCCACCTCCCTAACCAACTTTATGCTCTTTCTTTTGCTCTCTCTCTTTTTTCTCTCTCTCTCTCCCTCTTTAAAAAACAAAGACCAAGGGCTGGAGAGATGCCTCGGAAGTTAAGAGCACTTGTCTGTTCTTCCAGAGTTCAGTTCCCAACAACCACATGGTAGCTCACAACCTTTGATAATGAGATCTGGTGCCCTCTACTGGCCTGCAGGCACAAATGCAGACAGAACACTGTATACATAATAAATAAATAAATAAATAGATAGATAGATAGATAAATAGATAAATAAATAAATAAATGCCAAAACATGCACACAACCCCCCCCCCCACAAAAACAAAAATCAGGAACCAAAATATATAAATAAAAGGTCAGTGAGGGGGAAAAATGCCTACACAAAGCAAAATGAGACATAAAGTCTACAATAATACCATTGAGTTTGTTTTGTATTGGCCATCTACTCCTGGGCATGGGGCCTACCTTGAAATAGTTAATATGCCCAATGAGACTTCATTGGAAAATACTAGTTTCTACTTTGCCAGCAGGTATCAATTGTAGTTAGCTTCTTGGATATGGATGGGAGACTGTGTCCACTTTTCCCATCTCAGTGCTGGAATTACATTTGGCTTGAACCTCAAGCTGTGCACACTGCCACAGTCACTGTGAGATCATGCGTTCACCACTCCTGTTGTGTCTGGAAGACACTGTTTCACAAACTGGTCTTTGCTACGTAATATTCATTATTCTGGGGGCTGGGAAATGGCTCAGTAGGTACAGTGCTTACCACAAGCATGAAGATATGAGTTCAGATCCCCAGAGCACATATAGATGGGTGTGGCAGTACACAGCTGTAATCCCAGTGCTCCTACAGCAGGATGGGAGGCAGAGATCAAGCTCCCAGGAGATCGTGAGCCAGCTAGCCTTGTATATGTAGTGGAACTACAGTGTGAAAGGTGAGGACCAACTTCCAGGATTGTTCTCTGGCCTCCATATATGAGCTGTGGCATACACATGCCTGAATTCAGGAGTGCACACGTGCACACACGCACACACAATTATTCTAAATTCCTTCAACACGTATTAACGATGTCAAGGAACAAAGACTCAGAAATGTACCAGGAAGCAGAGTAAAGCCAGGCTGAGATTAGAACTCCACCACCAATATACTTTATAGCTGATATATATAGATGGTAACGATTCGCTTTATAGCCAGCCAACCATCAACATTTCAGGCAGCATTGTCCATCTGCCACAGGGTGGACATCTATTTCCTTTTTCAGAGGCAACTTACAAAATGGTTCATAATTAAGAGTCCTACTTATTTAAAACCAAAACAGCACAAATGCCCAGCACAGTGTGGGGCTTAACGGACACTTACCCATCCGCCCTGGTCCTGGATGAACTCTCGGACGGCTGCGTTCCCATTGATCATGCTTGCCATGCAGCTAGCCACCTGTCTTGCCACTTGACAAGGAGCCCTACAAGCCACATACTGAAGAAGTTTCACGGTCGCTCCCAGAAAGGCTCTTTCGAAAGCTAAGGTGGGATCCTGAGCACACCAGGAACTGCTGAGAGACTGTACTGTGTCCTTGACTACAGTTCCTCCCTGATGAAGGAGACAGGCTCTGTCAGTGACTCAAACAGGACCGAGTCTACAAGTCTGAGAAATGCTCAGAAGTGGCAAATGTACCACTGGTAGCCTGAGGTCATATTACAGGGCAGACGAACAAATTTCACTTTAATATTTTGTTATTTTAATATTAGAAAAACATTGATTTATCAAGCTCATAATTTCAAGATAGCATTGGGTAGGGTGAACAAAATACTTTGAAAGAAAGCTATTAATCACATGATATTGAGCAGGTCAGACTGTAAAGGCATATTTCCACGATTAGGAAATGTGTAGCAAAGTCTAAAGCTAAAAACAACAACAACAAAAAAAAAACATCCTCTTTTTTCCCCTCCCAAATAAACTGGTACAAAAGCTACTACGAGGGATCAATATGTATCTTTAGGGTAGAAAGGGGCCCAGCACTGGCCAGAATGTCAAATTCTAAAAAACAAACACACAAAAACACAGAAGCAAAGAATAAGCTTTGGAAGAGACCTAGGCCTAAGGTTGGTTGGTTTTAAATGTATGTATTTACTTACTTGATTAATGTATGTGTGCACACATGGCACAGTGCATGTGTTAGTTAGAGGACAACTTGCAGGAGTTCATTCTTTCCTTTCACATGTGGGTCCTGAGGACTAAACTCAAACTGTCACAGAAGCCAGCAGTTTACCCATGGAGTCATCTCTCAGTGGCTCTATATCTTAGTCTCTAAGTATCAGTTTTCACTGAAAGAAACCAGAATTCCCTGGAGAATAACTGACTCCCAGCTAGCATTAAGACCTTCTGCTAGAAAGTAAGTAAAGTTGAAACATGACAAAGAGACAGGTCACACAGTTCTGTCAACAAGACAGGACAAACTCAAGTTTACTCAGGGATATTCAACATTTCCCATAAGCTTCAAATGTCAAGGTCATAAGAAAAGTCTGAGGGACCAACACAGCCCATAGGAGACTAGAAAACAGAACTGCCACATATCAACCTGGTTTGGATATTCCACTATAAATTACATTGTTAGGACAAGTGACAAAAATTGAATGGACTCTAAGGATTCAATACTACTGTATCACTGTTCATTTCCTGGTTTGATGTTTACATTGTGATTCTATAAAAAATATTCTTACTTGAAGGAAGTATAAAAGTATTAAAGAGTGAGGAACTATCCTATTAACTATTCTCAAATGACTGGAGAACTTTCCTATAGCATACTTAACTTGAGTTTGAAACAATTTCAAAAATTTTTTTTTTTCCTGGTTGTTGTTTGTTTGCTACTGTCTAAAGTCTAGAAGAAAAGAGTAGACCCAGCTATCAGCCACCTATGAGAGCCTCAGGGCCACAACTGGCAGTAAGATTCTGTCTAAACATAAGGTGCCCATTAGGAACAGTAAAGTGTGCTTCTGAATTCAGTCTGGATTCACATCCTAGCTTCAACATTTACAGAGTACATGTCTTACTTGTTTCCTTATGGGTGCATTTTTTATGTGCTTCAATGGTATTGAGTCAGGAAATTCATATTGCAGGCCTATTGTGATAAGGAACTACCACAAAGAAGGAAACAGGTTTGACACTTGCTCCCATGGCGTTATGTGCTGATTCAGAGGTTGCTCTAAGAGTAGCAGTTTCTGTAATAATTCCCACACAAGTGTAATGATTAAGCCACGAAATGCTATCATGTGAGGTAATAAGCACTTGCTGTCATTGACATAATCAGCAACATCCACTGGATCACTGTCTCATGGTCTTTGGAGCTAACAGAGTCCAAGGGATACTGCCTGTAATCAGAGTTCTGATGAGAAGCCATCCAGCTTCTTAAAGGGTTCATCTCGACTTGCATCTAAAGTATCCAATATTTCTGATTCTCACTCTGGACCCTGGGACGAGGGGAGAAACCTATTCTCAACAAAGTTAAGCATTAAAAATATGGATAATGGGGCTGATGAGATATCTTACAATTAAAGATACTTGCCACACTAGCCTGTGTTCAATCCCTGAAATCCACACAAAGGTGGAAGGGGAGAACGCCACAAAATTGTCTTCTGGCTTCCACAGATATGCACTGGCACATGTGTCCCCCTCCTTACATAAATACACACATACAACAACAACAACAATAATAAATATACATAAAAGATTATTTTCTAAGAATAAAGAACTACAAACATGATCTATGCACACTAAGGGCAGCTCTGACGAAGCTTTAGTTCCTTCTATACTGCTGGGTTTTTATTACTATCTAAAGAATTAGCAATCTCATTTCCTTCTATAGCTTCCTGAACAAACACAAACCTCCAAATCTTCACAGATCATTTCTATTCCTAGTATACTGAAATTAGAAAAGAAAAGAAAAGAAGGGAGAAAATTAAAGTTTGAAATAGAACAGAACAAACAATATTAAAAGGCAAAAGTCTGACCTGTCCTTGAGTGAATTCCGCAATGACATTATTGGCAGAAGCTTCCAACTCTCCATTGAACTTGTCACCCAGCATTCTAAGGCGGCCAGCAATAATAGCCACATCAAAAGAGCAAGGCTCTCCTAAGACAGAGGAAACATTTTCAACATGCTTAAAGAAATGAAAAGTCTCCTGACTTTGAGCAAAAGAGAAATGTTCTCTAGTCTTGTTTTTTGGTTTTTGAGATGGGGTTTTTCTGTGTAGCCCTTGGCTGTCCTGGAACTCGCTCTATAGGTCAGGCTGGCCTCGGCTACACTCTCAAGTCTTTCAGTTTTGGCATTGTTTGTTCTCAGTAGCAGCAGTCAGACAATCCTTTTTATTGATAAGCTCTTTCCTTTCAAGTGTTGCGGAAAATTTAGGACTTGCCTTTTGAGAAAATAGAGGAAGCAGACTCTGATTCTTTTACCCACCTGTAATCACCGCCTCCGAGCAGGAGCCTTACCTGAATGTGGTTCATCTGCAGCCGCTAGGCTCCTATTAGAACACTGAAATTTGGGGGTCATGAAGTCTATGAGTAGAGTATTCATGATGCATTCTGTTTGCTCCTCAAAAGTCTGAGGGTTCTTCATTGTAGACATTTTCCACAGAGCATGTGGTTTTCAGCTCAACAGAAGGCTTGAGAACCTGACAAACCAGTTGTGCCTGCTTTCCTCTTACTGCTTTCCTCTTACTGGATATGTCCCAGAATCTCTCCCACCAACCTTCCCAAAGTAACTGCTCAAAAGAGTGGGACCTCTCTCAATAAAAAGACTTTTCAGTTCCTTATCTCAGAGCCTCAACCTTGCCAGTACATAAGATTAATGAATAGCTCTTATAGATAAACACACAGAATTGAGGAAGATTCTCTTGAGCAATTTAATTAAGAAATACTTCCTGTTATGTTCTGGAGCTGATGTAATTTAAAGGGAGATTTCTGAAGCTATGAGAGACCAGCATTCAGCTTCTGGTTAGGGCATTCCTTTGGCACAATTAGACAATGATTATTTACTGAGCATTTATGTCTAGACTATACTTAGCACTACAGATAACAGAAAAATGACATGGCCACAGTTCCTTGTGAAGCTTACACTTCAGCTGAAATGACAGCCATTGACAAATCACATAGCTTCTTGTGCTCTTAAGATACAGTGGAAAGTATAAAGGGGAAGCAAAGCTTGTGGGCTGGTAAGGCATCCTTAGAGTAGAAACACCTGAAGTTAGTTTGGAAGGATAAGTGGGGATTCATTAGGCTAAAATAAAATAAAAGACAAAGACTGACGTGAAAGGATGACAAAGATAAAGGCTAGGAAGGTGAAGAAGAAAAAATACCTGTTTAGGTGTTTGAGGAATTAGAGTGATAACAAGATATTTCAAAAGGAAATTGTGCACATTAAGTTAACATGTATGAATGACCAGATACTATTTGGTATGTGGTAAATGTTAAATAGCCTCTGTTCAGCTCAAGGATTAGTGATCAGTAAAAAGATTCATTCTTTAACTCAAAGTTTGTCCTAAATTATTACACTCCATTATTGTTTTTAGGAGCTCTCAGGCTTGAACACTTGCCTGCAGTGGCTGTGAATTCCAGGACAGCCAGGGCTACACATAGAAGCCCTGTCTAAAAAAACAAAACAAAACAAACAAAGAAACACTTGAGAACACTTCTCTTTTGCCCAGATTCGGGAGACTTGCCATTCCTTCGGCACAGTGGTGCCTTCTCAAATCTGGGTTTAGCTTCATTAAGAAGGCAGCCTATGGATGGAGAGGTGGCTTTGAGGTCTGGGTCCCAGATGCATTATTCTAACCTACCAGTAAACCTAACACCCAAATTTATCTTTCCCAGTAAAATTAATAGCTTCAACTGTAACAATAAGAGATTTAAGCATAAACGGTAGGCCAGTATTCAGACTGGGATTTCTATCCTGCAACCTAATGAGAGGCAATATTCTATTTTCTGCCTGTTCTTTAAAAAAAAAAAGAACTAATATACAACTGTTAAAATGATCAAAATCTACCCACTGGCTGCTCAGTTTCCAAGTGGGGTTCCCTGAGAATGGGGTACAGTGGCCAACTCTCTGATCACCCCCCTCCTGGGGGGGGATGCAGCCTTGTCGGGCCACAGAGGAAGATGATACAGCCAGCCTTAATGAGATCTGATAGGCGAGGGTCAGATAGAAGGGGAGATCTTCCCTTGTCAGGAGACTAGGGAAAGGGCATGGGGGAGAAGAGGGAGGGTGGGTGGCACTGGGAGGAGGCAAGGGAGGGAGCCTGCAGCGGGGATGCAAAGTGAAGAAATTGTAATAAATAAATATATAAATACACTTAACTCTTTAAAAATGGTCAAAATCCAGAATGAGGCACCAAGTGCTGGAGAGCATGTAAAGTGACAGGAACTCTCATTCACAACTTGTGGGAATGTGAAATGGTACAGACACTTTGGAAGAGAGTTTGGCAGTTTAAGAAAAAAAGAAAGGAAAAACTCAGCATTTGTATTACCATATAATACAGGAATTGCACTCCTTGGCTTTTGCAGTAAGAAATGAGAACTTACGTGTACAACAAAAACCTGCTTGTAGACATTTGCAAAAGCTTTACTTATTTTTGAAGCAGGTCCTCATGTAGCCTGGGCTGGCCTCTAACGTACTATGTAACTAACAATTACTTTACTCTTTCATCCTACCGTCTGTCTCCCACCATATCTGGTTTATGTGGTAGGATGCCGCCCAGTGTTTCATGCATACTAGGCAAGCCCTTTATCAATGAAGTTACATTCCAGCCCTGTTTATGGAAGCTTCAGTGGAGGGATGGGTAAGCCAACTTCAATCCATCCAGCAATAAAGTATTATTCAGCCTTAAAATGATTAGCCATGAAAAGAAAGGAGGAATTTGAGTAACTGGACTTAGCTACATAACTGATGAGGTAAGTTCAGCAATTATAACAGATGTTCCACTCTGACTGGGGATGTTGGGAATGCATACCGGGTTAGGCCCTCCCACGTCAATCATTAATCAAGAAAATAACCCACAGACATGCCTATCGGCCAATCTGATGGAGGTAATTCCTCTGTTGAAATTTCCCCTTCCCAGATGACTCTAATTTGTATCAAGTTGACAGAAAGAACCTAAGACAATCAATTACTATTAAGTTGTTTTCAATCCTTTAACATCAGATAATCTCTCCCGGTTTTAGTATCTGGATCAATGAGTCCTATTTCTAAGTTGGTTTCCACATGTGGATTATGGATATGAAATGAAAGTTACAAGTACACTGTGGGTCTAATGCCTTTCCAACTAAGAGAAACTAACTCTCATTGACTGATGTTTTTTTCTTGTAACAAGTGTATTAATAAATTAGAATACAAAGTTGGCCATACTAAAAGAACACTAAAGAGAGGGAGGAGAGGGAAAGAGGGGAGGAGGAGGAAGAGGAAGAAAGAGAGAGCAATAGAATGAGTACACATATACTCTCAGTGGAAATTCTAGGATGTAATTCTCTTCACAGTAGAGGCACCCTTAAAAATTTAAGGATTCTATTGAATACATTTATGACATACTCCCCAAAAATGTACTAAGTACAAAAATAAGGGCTGGAGAGATAGCTCAGTAGTTAAAAGCACTTGCTGCTCTTGAAGAAGACACACATTCAGTTCCATCACCCACTTGGTAGCTTACAACCAGTTCTAGGGCATCTGACACCCTGTTCTGGTTTCCAGAGGCTGCCACAGCCCTGACAATTTCTTGATGTAAATACAAGGGGTTGTAAAAAGAATAAACTTAGTTCCTTATAACTTAATGGCTCAGCAGTGAACAGTGGCTTGCTGGAAGCTAGTCCTGATTTAAGAAGGCTGATAAAACGCCCTGGACTGCTGATCACTTACTAGAAGCATGAAAAACATACACACACTTGGCAGACAAAGCAAGCAGATCCTTATGAACCTCACACACACATGCACACATACAAACAGTAGACAAAACAAGGGAGCTCCCAAAGACACCATTCATCCACATATATGTAAACATACAAATATAAATATATGCATACATACAGACAGACAGACAATACATACAGACAATCAGACATAAAAACAGATTTTTGGATGAAGTGGGTAGCCTCAACAACTTTAATTCTTTTTGGGTTTTTAATAATCTAATACAAAGGTTCTCTATGTATGGAAAAAATTACCTCATTCCAAAACAGATACAATCATTACATAAAAAGGGAGTTATAGTAGGACTGTGGATCCTAATATTGAACTAGATATTTTGTTTATTATACATTTAAAGCAGCAGTTTTATCTATATGCTCATTATGGGTTCAAAGTAGAAGTTTTATCTTTTTCTTATTTCAAATGTACATTGTGTTCAAAGCAAGTTTTTATGTCACGGTTTTTCTAAGAAACAAGTGTCTATCTTGTTTTGTATAGCTAACCATTTATTCTTTTTTCTATATTCATATAATCTTTCTTATTATGGTGTACATCTGGGCCTTATTGTTGGACTTAAGCCTAGAATGAATGTATCTCCTGGATTATTAACTTGTTTCAATTTTGTTTTCCTTCTTGGTGTAATTCACATGGCGGTTCACAGAGCTCCTAGACGTTTTTGTTACACTGCAGGAGGGTTTTTAAATTACTTAAATCAAGCCAGAAATTCTTTAATATTATCATCAGGGGTTATGCCATCATCATTTGTCTAAGCAGCACTATGTCATGAAGGTACATCTTCAAAATAATCTGCAGGAAATATGGCCAACAGAGTGAAGCAATAAGCAGCGAGGGTCTCTGCCATGGCAGAAATAGGAGACAAGCATAGAAAGGCAGTATAGCAAAAATAAGCAGTCTGGAGGCAAAATCCTTGAGGCCTTGCCTAAACCATGGATACATCCATTCATCAGCCATGCAAAACACAAGTGGGCCACCTCCAGGAAGCTCGATTGCTTGCTTCTGCCAATCCAGCATGCAATTGCTCCCAGCAATCCTATATCCTCATGGTACTTTTAAGTTGACAGAACTATCTGGAATTTTCTTCAGCACCTACATAGACAATCTATGCTTTAACTGAATAAGAATATAGAAAAAAAAAAAAAAAAAAAAACAAAAACTTCTTTCTACATTTTTTTAAAAAGATCTTCTACTTCCTTTGACAACTCCTGGAGATACATAATCTACATGAGTGGTTTCTCAAATTGAGGTACTATTGCCCACCCAGTGTCCTTTGAAAATTCTAGATATTTTTAGTTGTCACAAGTTGGGTGTGTATTAGCATCTATCAAGTAGGGATCAGACATACTACTAATAACTTATAGTCTACAGAAAAGCTTCCCACAACAAAGAATTACATTCTCCTAGTTGTTTTCTGTTGCTATGATAAATCATGACCAAAAGCAACTTGCAAAGGTAAGGGTTTAACTTACAGGTTCCCATCTTTGAGGGAAGCCAGGATAGTGACTCATTCCAGGAGCCTGAAGCAGGAACCACAAAGGAATGTTGCTTACTGACTTGCTTTCTCTGGCGTGTTCATCTAACTTACATAGCTTAGCTTCAATTGCCTAGAGATGGCACCATAGTTGGATGAGTACTCCTATACCAATTAGCAATCAAGAAAATGCCCCTGGACATAGTCACGTGCTAATCTTATGGAGGTAATTCTTCAATTGAGATTCTTCATTTCCAGGTGTGCCAAGTTGACAACCAAGATTAGCTATCACTCTCCCGTAAGTTTATATTGCCACTTTAAAGAAATCCTGGCCCACCAGTAGTGATGGCACATGCCTTTAATACCAGCACTCTGAAGACAGAGGCAGGCAGTGGATCTCTTGAGTTCAAGGCCTGCCTGGTCAACATAATGAGTTTCAGGACAGCCAGAGCTACACAGACTCAGTCTCAAAACGAAACAAAAAAACTGAACATTAATTAATTAACCAATTAAATCAATCCTGGCCTAAATGGAATTCCATTACTTTCTGAATAGTTAATAAGATATAATAAAACATACTTCAAACATCAGTCACAGAATATGATTGGTGTAGGAGCCACCAAGATGGTCCAGTGAGTAAAGCTGCTTGCTGTCAAACCTGACGTCCTAAGTTCAATTCCTGTTTCCCACATACTGGAAGGCAAGGATTGACTTCCCTAAGTTGTCTTGATTTTTAAACATACACCCAGCACTCATACACTCACACATAGATGCACACACCCTAGCACTCATACACTCACACACAGATGCACAAAATAAATACTTCTAAGAAGACCACCAGTCTAGTTACTTACACCCATTCATTCAGTAAATATTAAGAAATATTATGGTGACTCTACTATAAAGACATAAGAAAAACAAGACCTTTACTACCCATAGAATTATTCAGCTGGAAGACTCCTTAATAAACAACTCCCAAAATATAGGCCCTTTCTTATTAAACAACTCAACACTATTTACTATTCACTCTATGAAGAACCTGTTGAGAGAAGTCTTGAGCGAAAAAACTATCTGTTAAGATAATGTAACCAGGCTTGATGGCATGAGCCTTTAAACCTAGCACTTAGGAGGAAAAGGCAGGAGAATCTCTGTTGAGTTTGAGGCCAGAATGGTTTACATAACAAGGTCCAGACAGGGCTAGACAGTTAAGCCCTGTCTCAAAAAAGCAAAAAACCACAAAGCCTACCATGCAATTTATGAACTAAGTAGATGATGAAATGCTACCATAAGCCCTTTATAAGATGTGCGTTGAGCTCAATTTGCTATGTTCTCTGCTTCCATAGGGAAAATCTATCATATGAAATTCTTCATTAACTTCCTATAGGATCCTGTACATGTCACTTCATGTCAGCCATGGAACTACATGTAAATTTCTCTTACAAATTAAAATCTGAGCCAGGTGGGCGTGGTGGCACATGACTTTAATCCCAGAGCTCAGGGAGGCAGAGGCAGGAGGATCTCTATGAGTTTGAGGCCAGCCTGGTCTATAAAGCGAGTCCACAACAAGCCAAGGCTACACAGAGAAACCTTGTCTCAAAAAAAAAAAAAAAAATCTAATGGCAGGTCAAAGGGAATTACTACCAACCTTGAAGATACCAGATACAACTCCACATACATACCATGGCACACAAACACACACACAGTTAATTGTAGTAAGAAATTTTTTAAAAAATCTGATAATAAATGCTTCCCTCCATTCTGACGCCAAATCACTTATAAAGCCAAATCTGAAGCTCATGTGTCAGCCCTTATACTCTGAACATCTATTTTTCCATTCCGGCCCAAGTGGAATTAATTGATGTTTTATTTTCCTTTTTCTGGATAGTTTGGTCTTACTATAGTTCGCTGTCTTTCCGTTTCGTCTATAGCATTAGTGATATCACCGTATAAAACAGTTGAGCATGAAGCAAAGGAAAACAACGACAACAGAACTCCAGAAGTATGCTAACAACTTAATTTTTTTCCTTACACTTATTATTCGAGTGAGAGGGGTGCACACACCTGAGACATGGTACATGAGTGGAGGTCAGACAAAAACCATGGGGAGCCAGTTCTCTCCTTCCATCACGTGGATCCTGGGGATTGATTTCAGGTTATCAGGCTTGGTTACAGGTGCTTTACCCACTAAGCCATTGTGCCAGACCATTTAAAAACAATTTTTAAACATGTATTGCATGCAGTGGAACATACTTTGTACCATGGCATATATGTAGATAATCGTCAGAGAATACCATGTAGAAGTTGGTTCTCTCCTTCAGTGTGGTCGGAGGTTTCCAACTCAGGTTTGCAAGCTTGGCAGCAAGCACCTTACCTGCTAAACCATCTTGTCGGGACTCCTCTTGTTTCTTGATAATACCGCATGTATCCCAGACTGGCCTCAAACACCCCATGGCAGCTGATACTGACTTGAACTTCTAATCATCCTGCTTCCAACTCCTGAGCACTAGGAATACAGGCATTTTTACCGGGTGTTGTAGATTGAACCTGAGGTCTGTCCATGCTAATCAAGTACTCTATCAACTGAGCTACATCCTCAGTTCCTATGCAGAGGTGACCTTCATCACACTGTATTAAGGGATGTCTCCAAATAGTCAATTGTTAATTGCTGAATGGGCAGCCAGCTAAATGCTAACAGATTCTGGTATTACCAATGCTAGTGAGGAATCTATCATCTCAAAGGTGTGTAAAAATTACTGCCCAATTATCTGATTGGTTACTAAAAGAAGCTGAAGAGCCTATGAGTGGGCAGAGAAGACAGAAGACAGAAGGCAGGACTTCAGTCTGGGGTCCCAGGTAAGAGGGCAGGGGAGTAGAGGGAGGAAGAGTGATGGGCCATGAAGAGTTGCCATGAGGACAAAGATGGAGCAGGAGCAGCTGAGCTGAGACTAGATGGCAAGTAGCACGGGGCACAGGGCTGGGAAGTAGCCAGGACAGTACAGATGGGTTAAAACAGATAAGTATATGCCCAGCTTTAGTGCTCTAAAGCTTATCAATAAATGTAATAGGTCTCCCTCTCCTTATTTGGGAGTGGGCATAGAAAAAAAACCCTAAAATCCAACATTCCTGTATGGCAGCTTTGACAGTTTGAATAAAGATCCCTAATGAAGACATTGAGTATCAAAGAAAAACAAAATGTCCTCAAAGAGCTCACATCTAAGAGAGATACACTGTGTGTTGAGACATGACAGTGAAGAACTGCTCTAGGCAGGAAATATAGATGTTTAGGCCTGGATATGAAAGGGTCCTCAGAGAACTGCAAAAAATCTGTTTTCTTCTTTGGTAAACCACTCTCTAAGAAAAGAGAGAGCTTCAGGAGTGGTGAGCCATGACACTGAAGAAGTACTTTACATGATACATGAAGGACTGCTGAATCCTAGCCTAAAAAGCTTGCCTGGAAATATAGAAACAGTTTACTGAAGAAAAACAGACTCTCAGAAACGATGATAGCTACCAATTTCCACAAGCGATAGGCATATTTAATAAATAATTCAACCATAAAATGATTAGAGAACTATCCGCAGCCTACCTTCATCCCATCCTTATCCCTTAGCAACACTGCTGCAAATATTCTCCTTTTAAAATGGGACCAATCTCTGACAGGCTTGAAGAAAACAAGGGTAAACATAAACTTTGGGTAAACAAAAGAGCCAGGATCCCCAGACTTTCCGTTCTCTTGCATTTGATACGTGGACTTAGAATCAGTTTTACAGGGAAATGAAGGAACTCTGGCAGCTGTTCATCTCGTTCAAGGCAAGCAGAAAAACTTAAGAGTTTATGTGTCCAATTGTTCCAATCACAGTTTCTAAGACAGAAACAAAACCACGGAGTGTTTCAGTCCTTGCCTCACTCTGTTTCACAGAGATTTGCATTTCTGAGTTCTCAGGCTTCAACAGCAATTCAGTTAAGAAGAGACAACCAGTGTCATCCTGAGCACTGAGGTAGGCTTTCCAGGGCTGTGCCCCAGCCCTGCTCATTGCGATGGTCTGAATATTTACTACTTTTAGGGCCATTTGCAGAGTGTCAGGCTGGACTTCTCCCTGCCAAGGAAATGCCTGCTGATGAGTAACTTTGAGGCTAAGCCATGTTTTCTCAAAGTACTCAGCGGTAAGCTGGAGATTGGGGACCAGCATGAGAGCTTCAGAATCAGGAGGCTCTTGTACCTCTTCTTTGTTCTCTTCAGAAACCAAGTGTCCTAAAAGAGTCAGAAAGCTTTGATGAGAGACACTCTTAATCAGCAGTTTTAGTTTACGATGTATAACGATGCTCCTAATGTACTGAAGAGCACGGTGGTGCCTGAGTGTCCCAGGTGCTCAGGATGGGGAGTAGTGGGGGTAGGAGAATCAAGGTTTCAAGGAAAGCCTTGGGTACATAGCCAGCTCAAGGCCATATTGGCTTCTCATAAACATCAAAAACAAACACATTTATACTGTGACTCTGTTTGCAGTTAAATGGCTTAAATAACCAATGAGAAACTCCTCTCATGCCCACAAAGGATTCAAATTCAGCAACAGTTTGAAATGAAGCTACAGATTTTTACTTTCCACTAGACACCACAAGGGGTGGTGGACAGCTTTACACCATGACAAGATGTAAGGTAAATTCTATTTGTACCTGATGAGGCTAAGGATGCACTGGGAGGAAGCTCAAGCCGCTCTACCTTCCGGCATTTAGAGATAGCTGCCCAGTAGGCTTTGCCATACACTGGCGCCAGTGTGTTGAAGTCTGAAGCCCAGCTATTCACAGGTCGTTCTGGCTGATCCTCCAAAAGTCCAAGAGAAGGGTCAGATTTAGGACTACACAGGATCTGCTTAACTTTATCAATGCCAACTAACAGGAGGCGGTAATAGAAGAGACCTCGGTCTCGCACAGCCATATCCTTTTCTTCCTCTGAGAGAAAACAACGGGTTGAGTTAAACAAACAAATACCCTACTCTCTTTGTGCCAAACATAAGAGGCAATGAAGGCACGATACGTTAGAAAGTATCATTTTCTTCTCAAGTCCCAAACATGATTTACCAAACAATGAAAGCTGTGTGAACTTTTAGCCTAAGTCTCAGCCAGTATTACCCTCTGAAAAACCTACCTATGCAGTAATGTAATAGACGCCCCAGCATGTCCTGGCACTCAGCAGGGCGCGAGATGAAAAGGCGCATCAGTGCAGTCAGGAGCTCCATTTTAACAGCAGGAAATGTCTCTGACTTCACATTTTCTACAAAGTCCTCCAACACATAAGGAGCATTGGGGATTTTTTCCCCATGGACCCCAAGTAACCAAATAAGTGCCTGTTTCCCCTAGGAATAAGAAAATAAGAGATGCTGAAGATGTGGCTGCCCAAACAGAGGAAATGATAGGCAGTCATCAGTTCTCTTTGCCCTACTGCCAGCAGCTAAACTATACCCTTTCATTGGTATCAACTTGCACTGTCATGTCCTGCTCTATTACTTCTCTAAAATACACAAGAATGAAATTCTGACGCACCCAGACTTGGGCCTAGGGATGCAGGGCAGTTGCAGAATGTTGACTTAGCAGGCATGAGGCCCTGAGTTTGATGCCTAGTATCACACACACAAACACACACACACCACCACCACCACCATCATCACCACCACCACACACACACACAAAACAAAACAAAACAAAAAAAAACCTGGGGGTGATGAGTCACATCTATCATCTCTCACTCAGTTGATGAAGGCAGGAGGATTTGAGTCAAAAGTCAAACTAAGCTACACAGTGAATTTAGGGACAGTGGGTTACGGGAGACACTGTCTTAAAAACAAACAAACAAACAAAACAAAAAGAGAAAAAAAATGTTAAATTGCATAAAGAGAAACTTAAAATTTTTGTTAGTCAATGTTGATGAAGCAATAAATTAGGATTTCTCCATTTTGGGGCCTTGGCTTTCTGGACTCACTTTGTAGATCAGGCTGGCCTCGAATTCACAGAGATCCACCTGCCTCTGTCTCTCCAAGTGCTAGGGTTACAGGCGTGCACCACCTGTAACCTATTCTCTCTTTCTTTCTTTCTTTCTTTCTTTCTTTCTTTCTTTCTTTCTTTCTTTCTCTCTCTTTCTATCTTTCTCTCTCTCTCTCTTTCTTTCTTTTCTCTCTCTCTCTCTCTCTCTCTCTCTCTCTCTCTCTTTCTTTCTTTCTTTCTTAAGGACATGGTGGACCACGTCCTTAATCCTAGCATTCAGGAGGTGGAGGGCAGTGTGGTCTACATATCAAATACACCCATCAGGGTTCTATAGTGAGACCTTGTCTCAAAGATTAACAAACAAAAGAACTACCATCAACAAAAAAATTCCATGGTGTAAAACTCTGATTCAAAATTATTCAAGAAGACAATGGTATCAAAGAATTTGTAATTGATACCAATTTGGTATTAAAAATTTGTAATCGGTGGCACACACTTTTAATCCCAGCACTTAGGGAGGCAGAGGCAAGCGGATCTCTGTTAATTCAAAGGCAGCCTGATCTACAAAGCAAGTCCTGGACAGCCAAGGCTACACAGAGAAACCCTGCCTCCAAAAACAAAACAGAACAAAAACAAAAGAAAGAAAGAAACCAGACAAATCTCTCTCTCTCTCTTTTAATAACTTAATGTGCTATCTATAGCCCAAGAATCTGAGACATAAGCAGGCCCAAGTTGCTACTTGGACTTAAGATGTTAAAAAGAGTAATTAAGTTCCATTTGGGGCTGGAGAGCATCTCAGTGATCTCCGTGGTACAAGTGTTTACCTAGCATAAGTTAGATCCTCAGCACCAGAAAACCAAAACAAATACAGATTCACTTCAGCAGGCAGGATCCTATAGCCCCTTAAATGATTAGAAGTAAAAGAGAGTTACATTCTACCTCACTGTCTTGAATGTTCTCCTCACAGCCGGGCAGGGCCTGACACACAGCTTCAGTACACTGAGGACACAACCAAACCAGGTCTCGGAAAGTCTGCACCACCACTACAACACAGCCCAGGACACAAAACACAGGTTAGGGACTCCATGAAGAAAGGAATCTTAGAAAAGTCGTGTATTCAGACTAGATTCCTGCCTGATTTCTATAAAACAGGTTTTGGAAATGGGCAATACGCTTCACTATTACACAAATCAAGCTGACATGAAGATAAGTAAACAAGGAGAAGAGCACCTTGTAAATGAAATGCTGTGGATGAATATGGGCTAGTGTTGCTGACAGACACTGAACACAGTACTGGCACTTACAGAAACTGAGAATAAGGCCTTCCTGAATATTGTATTCTAAGACCCTTCCTTGTCTCACCTGAACTCAGCCTTGGAAGCTGGATGAAGCAAAAACAGGAGCTTCCTGGTACCTTCATTATCTCAGTATAGCCTTGTCATTCCTAACAGCCAGAAGAGTTTACTCTGTTAAATCTATAGAGCCCATGCTTCTTTGAGAGCAACAAATGATGTAAAGACATGTTTAAGCCTATGTATTTGAAATCCATATAACAAAAAAGATTTTTAAACAACTACTGTTAGCTAAGTACTTGACAAAAGAGAGAGAGAGAAAAAAAAAAAGAATAAAATTCTAGGAAGGCAGACATTACCTGTAGTAATGTGTTCTTGCCGAAGTCCTAGCAACTCTGTTAGAATCTGCACACATTGGTCTGTGTAAGTCTTGGCAATGCTACCTGTAGAGGAAGGAAAGGTGAAATTCTAGCATGTCATTCTAAAGTCACTTCCCATTAGTCAAAGACAAAGATAAATTGCACACCTGTAATCCCAGCACTTGAGAAGTTTCAGCAGGAGGATCACAACATAGAGGCTAGTCTGGACTAAATAGCAAGACTGTTTTAAAAATAAGTAATAGCTGAGCTGTGGTGGCACATGCCTTTAATTTCAGCACCATGGAGGAAGAAACTGGCAGATCTCTGTGGGCTCAAGGCTAGCCTAGTCTACAGAGCTAGTTCCAGGACAGCCAGAGCTACATAGAGAAGCCCTGTCACAGGGAGGGAGGAAGAAGAATAACAAAGAAAACATCTTCACTGTCATCTTGACTGCATTTACATCTTGACTGCATTACATCATGGAAATACACTTCTAGGTATGTCTGTAAGAGTGTTTCCACAAAGGTTTATCTGAAAAGAAGGGACCCATCCTGAATGTGGAAGACACCACCATGTGGTTTGGGGAAAAAGTGAACTTAGCACCAGCATGCATCCTTCTCTGCTTCCTGATTAAAGATGCAATGCAACCAGCTGCCTCACACTCCTGCCATGACAGACTGTATCCCCTCCAAATGTGAGCCAACATAAACCCTTCTCTCCTTAAGTAGCTTCTAATCAGGTACTGTGGTCACAGGAACAAGTAAAATAATTAATACAATGACCAAAGATATCTTTAAAAGAAAAAAAAAAAATCACTAACTACAATGAAGTAAGAATCTAAGTCTGCTGCCCAGGGAACAATGTTTAAAATAAATCCAAGGGTTTTTTTTTTTTTTTTTTTCCAACTTACCAAAAGAAACTTCCTGGAAAAGAAAACAATCCCATAGCAGAAGGCTGAAAGCAGAGTAACAAAGTATTTCTGAGTTTATGAGAAAAGTACTGGATGAAGTTTTTTGGTCTGTTTGTTTGAGACAGGCTCTTGTTGTATCACCTAGGGTGGCCTTGACCTTGTGATTTTCCTGCTTCAGTCTCTCGAGTGCTGGAATCACAGGCACATACCGCATTTGACTGAGGCACCCTTCTGGATGCAACACACCTGAATAGTTATATTCCTGCTGGAGATACCTGACAGCAATCTTTTAAGTTTAAGAATTTTTAGTCTTCTTTGTCTCTAGTAATTTTATTTCAAATATGAGGGTTCTTTATCCTCATCTACTTAGTTTTAGCCCTCTCAATCTTAGTTTGCCAGATGTTTTAATTTTTTAAATCTTTCTAGCATTTTAAGTTCAAGACTGGCAGTCAGAAACAGAGAACTTTTAGTCAAGACAGTATGGTTCCACTCAGTTTGGAAACTATATAATCTTTTGGCCAATTAGTAATCTTTTTTTAAAAAAAAAATTTTTATTACGTATACAATGTCCTGTCTCCATGTACACCTGCACACCAGAAGAGGACACCAGATCTCATCTTAGATGGTTGTGAGCCACCATGTTGTGGCTGTTGGGAATTGAACTCAGGACCTCTGGAAGATCAGCCAATGCTCTTAACCTCTGAGCCATCTCTCCAGCCCTTAGTAACCTTTTGGTAGCTAAGTTTCTTCATCTTTAAAATACCCACTATTCCTAACTGCCTTACAAGTCCATAAGATGATATACATGAAAACAGTTTAGATAAGAACGTAGCATAGGGCAGTATAAATTTTAAGTATTATTATTTATTGTTCAAATTATCTATACTTCTATCTTGAGAATTATCTGCCTTGATTTAAAACAAAACAACTCCTTTCCCATGCATGAAATCATTGACCCAAGATTTGACCCAAAATGCATGGTAACTTTGTCCTCTATGGCTTCCTGACTACAGCTCTTTAGCTGGTTGACGTGAGGTCCCAACAAAGAAAAGCAGCAGGTACTTACCTATGGCAAAGATTGCAGCCTGTGAAAAGTCAGCAGACACATCAGTGCAGTATCCTCGAAGCTCCTCTAGCACCTGCTGCACATTCTCATCATTCACCAGCTCACACAGTATCTCTACCTTCTGTAGCTTGATATAGTGGGGCTCCGAGTAAGAACAAAAGAACTTTTTGTAGTGACTGCTAAAGTGGCCTGGCAAACTATGCAATACCTGGCGAATATGACAGAGAGCAGCAAAACAGAGCTCCCGGCTCTCTGAAGAACAGGCAGCTAGCAAGGGTCCCTTGACACGTACAAGCACATCAGTTTGTACGTGGGGGAACTTTTTTGCCAAAATCAGAAAGAGTTTGGTAGCTCCCATCACCACGCCTGTGCTGCTGCTCTTGAGATAGCTGTCCAATAAATTGAGAATATCAAACAGTTCCTCCTCACTGCGGGGTTGGTAGCGGAGCAGAAAGTTCAATACTTCAGCCTGACCCCACTGGTCCAGTTTTGACATTCTGTTCAAAATGAAAACAAAAGAACTACTTATAAGAATGAAACACTCTCCACACAACTGCCATGAACCAACTCATAACAAAGCGGGGAGGGAATTCTTAAAATAGATTATGCCATGATCAAATTCTTTTTACATTTTAAAAAAAACAGGCTTTATGTTCCACAACAAAGGCTGTTGAGATGACTCAGTGAGGAAAGGCATTTTTTATCAGGTCTGTTGACCCATGTTCAATCTCCAGTGTTCACATGATGGAATAAATAATTCCCGAAAGTTGTCCTCTGACTTCTACACATATGCCATAGCACATGCTTTCATGAAATACACACACACACACACACACACACACACACACACACACACACCATACAAAATAGTGAATTTTTCTTTTTAATTTCTCAGAAGCTGGAGCGATGGCTCAGTAGGTAAGAGTATGCACTATTCCACAGGATCTGAGTTTGATCCTCAGCAACCAACCATGTCAGGTGGCTGGCAACGACCTATAACTCCTCCCATACCAGGAGGCTCTAACCCCTCTGGCCTTTGGGGACACCTGCTTTCATGTGCATGTATGTATTCACACACACACAATTTTTAAAAAATTATATATATATATATATATGATATATATATTATATACATATATGAAAGAAATTCCAAGACAACTTGACAGTACAAGTATATGATCAATATATACCAGATACAAAGTCTTTAGATTAAATTATACCTCTAGTTGCAGATTTTCTATATTTTCCCAAGATTTATTTATTTTTATTTTATGTGTATGTATATTTTGCCTACACTTAAATGTAATATGTGCATGCCTGGTAGGAAGCTAGAAGAGGGTGTTGGATCCCCTGAAACTGCTGTCACAGGCAGTTGGGAGCCACCATGCCGTGTAGATGGTGAGAATTGAACGTCTGAATTAAGAGCAGCTGGTGCTCTTAATCCCTGAACCATCTCTCCAAGACCCAGCTTTTCTAAAGTTTAAGATAAATAAATGGCTTAGTTTAGGGGACAGAATAGGTATTGCAGAACAGATTTATCACCATATCATGTTTCTACCATCTTTACATATCAAGAAAAAGAAGTCAGATTTTTAAAAAAAATCTCTTGCTGGGCGCAGTGGAGCATGCCTGTAATCCCAGCATGAAGGGAGGCAGAGGCAGGCAGATCGATGTGAATCTGAGGCCAGCCTAGTTTACAAAGTGAGTCCAGGACAGCAAGGCTACACAGAAAAACCCTGTTTTGGAAAAAGAGGAAGAAAGGAAGGAAGGAAGGAACTCTCTTAGTGAAACATGAGGCAATTAATAATTGTGGTAAACTTGAAGTTACGTCAGGGCTGGAAAGATGGTTCAGTGGGTAAAAGCGCTTGCTGTGCAAGCCTAATGGCTTTAGTTCGATTCTTGGAACCCACACAAAAGTGGAAGGAGAGAACCAGCTCCTCTAAGTCACCTACTGACTTTCACACTCTTACTGGGGCACATGTACACCTAAATCCACATCACCACCACTCCCATCATACACAATAATAAAGGAAGACTTAGTTTAATACATCAACAAGATCCTACCATGATTTGTATCTCATAAAAGAAGAACATCCTAACCTATTTAAGAGATGGTGGGCAATGGGCTTATTAATGACAACACCTCCTTCCTGTTTTAAAATTTCCTCTAGAGACCTCAGACAGTTCACAACCACAATTGGATCCTGGTCACGCAGAAGACTGTATAATTCATTGACTAGAGCACCATCTGAAACAAAGATCAAGGATTACAGATAAAGAAAAACTTGAGTCACAGTGATAGAACCAGAGTAACAGCTCTAGCCAGGCAAAGCTACATCTCTGCCAAAAGAAACAACAAAAGCAATAACATCATTTTGGGTACGGGGGGGGGAAATGTATAAATCAAGAAAAAAATTTTTCTCAAAGACTGAGGTGCTAAAAAGAAAACAAACAGATAAAGTAAAAAGAGGCATGCATCCTATCTAGATACATTCAAAGTAGTGGAGACACATTATTATATGCTATCAAGCAACATAGCTTCCCCCCTCCCCAAATTATATGCATAATAGCCACAGATAAATATTGAGCAGTGGATGATCTTACCTACTTCAGAGTCCCCATGAAGATTGTGCATCCTGGCACAGCCAAGGACGGCTACTCTTCTGACATATGAAGCCTTATCCCGCAAACCATTAAGGACAGGTTGTTGGATATATTCCTGCACACCAGGCATTCTAAGAAACACATCCTAGAGTCAGCCAGATCTCGAAAGACTAGCTTTGACACAGTTAAATTCTTCTTCAATTATCAGAGATTTAGTTTAAATATAATTTAATAGCTCGTTTGAATGTATATCTATTAGATGACAACAAATTGGAGAAAGCCTCTATCAGATTTAATAAGGCATAATTTGACTTTTCATTTGCAATAATGCTGTACACTCAGCACAAATTGTTACAGTAATAACTGATTAAACATCTTTTTTTAAAAATTTATTTATTAATTATGTATACATTATTCTGCCTGCATGTACACTTGCACACCAGAAGTGAGCACCAGATTTTATTATAGATGGTTGTGAGCCACTATGTGGTTGCTGGGAATTGAACTCAGGACCTTTGGAAGAAAGGCCAGTGCTCTTAACCTCTGAGCCATCTCTCCAGCCCCTGATTAAACATCTTTAACCAAAATTCAGAAATATTTTACCAAGATAAAGAAAAATCACCTCTAATAAAACCATAAGATACAATTTAAAAAGTCAAAGTAATGGCTGAAAATCTGAGTTCAAGGTAGAAAAGCGCTTTCCTTAGTGTGAGGGAACTTAAGCTGTCCTCATTAAAAATCTGCACTACAGCTTTCAATATTCACCAGCCCCTGAGGACCAGGCAGGGAGGCAGAGTACTCACCTGAGGCTGCACATGCTCCGTAGTGCCAGCCCTCGCACCATCGGGTTGGGATCTGAGCAGTCTTTGCAGAGTGTATTGATGGCCAAGAGTGCCAGATCCGGTTTCAAAGGCGCATATGTGCCCATATACAGATACACCAACTTTTTCTGAACAATATCTACAGTGGCACTGGCCTTCACCATTTCCATGAAAACACCAGACATGTCCAAGCCCTGAGTCATGTGCCTGTATATACAAAACAGAAAGAAGTAAAACGGACAATTCCCAGTCTGTAAGAGAACTTTTATTTATACATGGTCTAGTTATCCAAACTATGATCTTCCAGAGAAATACAACTGGGTCTACTCTGTCAATTACATTACACAAAACTTCCTATCATGGGCCTGCAACTGTTGCTCTGTATTTTCAACACCGTGAAACCTTAGCATAGTCCAATGAAATGATATGGTAATGGTACATTTGACTTTTGAATTCCAGGGTTATGACATGGAGAAATCATCTTTAAAAAGGTACAAGTTGACAGACAGACAGGAGGAAGGACACCAGGATGGGTTAGCCTGGAAAAGAAACCATGTGGATGAGGAGAAGTGATTCCAGTAATGGTGTGAAAAGGCCCAGATGAAGAATAAAAATAGATCAAGGCCCTGAGGGCATGTGGCTTGATCATCTTCCGAAGATACCTCATTCCAAGGTGGACAACAGTACAATTGAGTTTCTGCTGCTGCAGGCATCAGATGGCATTCATCACTGGACTCCTCCCAAAGGCCATGTGGACCCTGGAGAGACTGACTTAGAAGCAGCCCTGTGAGAGACTCAGGAGGAAACAGGAATAGCAGCAAGCCAACGGAGCATCAATGAGGGCTTCAGAAGGGAGCTCACTTATGTGGCCAAGAAGTCTAAAACAGTCATTTACTGGCTGGCAGAGGTGAAAGACTACGATGTAGAGATTTGCCTCTCCCAAGAGCATCAGGCCTACCACTGGCTAGGGCTGGACGAGGCCTGCCAGCTGGCTTAATTCAAGGAAATGAAGGCAACACTCCAAGACGGACACCAGCTTCTCTGCTCCACACCGGCCTGAGCCAATCAGAACAATTGCTTCTGTTGCATCCTTAAGGGTTTTTCTGAGATGAACCCACCCTCTCATCCTGGGAAAGATGTGCTGGTCTTTAGCTTGTTACAGCCAAGAGATAGGTTGGTGAAATTAAAACTAACTCGGCATTCTCAGGTGAGTGCAGAGAAGCCCTGGATTCAATCCCTAGCATAGAAGATAATTTTAAAATAAGAGCAAGCAAGAATTTTAGGAAGTTAATAAACAAAGGAGGGGTAAATTATTTAAAAGGTTAGCCCCGGGAATCATAACCTTGTACTTTATAAATTAACTTCAAGTTGCTTTAAAAAAAAAAAAAAGGAAAGAAAGAAAGAAAGAAAGAAAGAAAGAAAGAAAGAAAGAAAGAAAAGAAAAAGAAGGTACAAGTTGAAGAGAGAGCTCAATAGTTAAGAAGCATTTTGCTGCTCTTGAAAAAGAGCTGGATTCAGTTCCCAGCACCTACATGGTAGTTTACAACTGTCTGTAATTACAGTTCCAGGAGATCCGTTGCCTTCTTTGGACACAGGCACCAGGCATACACTTACATATACAGACAAAACACTCATATACATAAAATTAAAAAAAAAAAAACAAAAATGAAAAGCTGGGCATAGTGACACACACCCTTGATCCCGGAGGAGTGTGGAAGGCAGACACAGGTAGATCTCTGTTAGTTCAAGGCCAGCTTGGTCTACATAGTGAGTTCCCAGGACAGCCAGGGCTGTCTCAAAACAAAATAAAACCAAACAGAATAGGTGTAGCCTCAGATGTTTGGGAACTCAAGATCAATTAAGAAGCCAACTAAGAACATCACTGATTTAAAAAATCCAGTGTAATAAGTCAGGCAGAGGCAGGTGGATTGCTTTGAGTTCAAGGCCTGCCTGGTCTACTAAGTGAGTCCAGGACAACCAGGGCTACACAGAGAAACCCTCCTGTCAAAAAAAAAAAAAAAAAAAAAAAAAAAAAAAAAAAAAATCCAGTGTAAGCACTTGAGTTAGTGCACAATACAACAATACACAGACCACGAAGATCCACATCTATATGCCACTATGGAAGTCAAAAAATGTTTCTTCAGAGTACTTCAGCTAAACGATCAGCTCACTGGGCAAATGTAATACAGCTAATGATACATGCTATGAAGCCTGAGCAAGAGCTGATTATGCTTTTTGTTCCTTGGATGGCATGGGAAAACGTTTGAACTTCATGCCACTGATTGTTTCTAATGCCGTGGAACCAAACTAGTTCAATCAGCTAAGATGTTTGTTAAAAATACAGTTCCCGGACTCCATCCCATCCTAATAAATCAGAACCGATCCCCAGATCACACTCCTTTAAAAAAAGCACAGCAAGGGGCTTTTGTGCCTCCTAACACTTTTCAGCTACAGCTTCAGATTAGTTATGAATTCAAATGTAAATAATAGAAAAAAAAAAAAAAAGAATCCTAGCTGAAGTGAAGAGACAAAGCTACTTATTAATAAACTATCACAAAAGGCTTTGAAAATGACAGCCTGGGCCAACACTACAACTACAGTCTTAATAACAGGGTAGATATTAATTTTTCAAACCACCTGACAGTAGATGCTAACTAAGGGCAATGTCAAGGTTTCTAGCATTTTCAGTAGGATGCCTGGTGACATTCATAACACAAATACAGACAGAACAGTTTAAAGAAGAGGTTTAAGGACAACAAGAATGACGATACTATTTTGGCCATAGTAGAAATGCCAAACAAGCAGAGGGATATAGAGGTCTGAATCTAAAAAACAAAACAAACAAAAAAACGGGAGAACTGTACTACTCAGGTAAGTCATGGAAACAGGAGTGCGCAGCGTAGCTGCTAAAGCCTGTGACATGAAGGAAACCTGTCGGCTAGGTAAGACACTCCACAAGGGAGACTGCGGTGACAGTCCAGAAACGCGGCCTCAAGGCCAAAAGACACACTCCATGTATGGAGGTTCATCTGCTTTTTCAGGGTGGTTTCCGGTCGCGAGCCCCGAAGACGCCTAAGAGTGGGGCGGGGTGGGGAAGGCGGGGGTGGGGGTTAGAATTCTAAGGTAGGCTGGTGATACCTAATAACTCGCTGGATGACATTCCGGTAGCGCGGCCTATCAGCCTGAATGTGAGGGTTACACAGGGCCTTCTTCAGTTCCTTCACCACGTCCTCAGAGCCAAGGTATGGCATCTCCGCGAACGGGACAGTTTCCACTGACCCGCAGGGAACTCGCGGGCTCCTTCCGGGCCCGAGGCGGGAGCCTGAGTAAAGGAAATGCGGTCAGTGAACACTAACTGAGGCAAGAAGATGTCACTGTGCCGGGCCTTCTCCAGGGAGGAACACACACTTCGCCCCTCGGTCCCTCTGGCGAACCCCGACCTAGGCCCTTCAGGAGTCGACCCAAGCAAGACCAGCGAGAGGCCGAAGACCTAGCACAGGCTCTTCCCCTCCAGTCCTAGCTGTCGGGGCCATCGCGCAACAGCCCGGACGGCTTCCGGCGGAAATCCCGCCCCCTCACTGCGCCCCAGCCTCGCCGACCGCGGAGCGCCGAGCGCAAGCGGGACCGACCTTAGGCCGCCCTTCCCCCAGCCGCTCTCCTCTTGGCGCAGGCGCACAGCTCGCTGTGCTGGAGCCGCGGCTGGCCATCGGAGATCAGCTAGTTCGGTCTGTCTCCGCGCCGCCGCGCGCGCTTTGACCGAGTGCGGGCTGGCTGGGCCTGAGCCCCGGCGCGCGGGTGTGAATGATGCTCTCGGGCTTCTTCCTCGTTGGGGCGCTTTCGCTTTGGCCGTCCGGAGCGCGGCCACTTCCTTGCACTCACTCTGTCTTCTTCCGTTTCTGGGGCGGTTTTCCCTTAGGGCTTCTGGCCTTGACCTGCGCCCACATGTCGTCGGGACGCTGTCGTGGAAGCCTCACGCGGGAGTGCTGTTCCCGCCAAGACCCCACTGGTGACTCCCCAGCTCTGCCACCATGAACGGGGTCGTGATCCCCCATACGCCCATTGCTGTGGACTTTTGGAGCCTGCGCCGCGCTGGTACCGCGAGGCTCTTCTTCCTGTCCCACATGCACAGTGACCACACGGTGGGCCTGTCTAGCACCTGGGCACGACCCCTCTACTGCTCTCCCATTACTGCCCACCTCTTGCATCGTCACCTGCAGGTATTGGGGCTGGATTTGGCCTCTGAGACCTAGTCCAGGAATCTGAGTGGGAATTTCTGATCTATCACAGAGTGGGAGCCATAAGGACTGCATTTTTTTTTTTTAAACAAATGTGGGGTAGAGTCCCAGAGTGAGAGTGGCCTCTAGCTGACTAACTTGACAAATTTTAGTTGTAAGTTTAGACAAGAAAAATTATTCCTATCTTTTCCTAAACGATAGACTAGTGTTTTCCTAGTTCGCTTTTAAGAATACCAGACTGAAGATGCGCAGGTATTGTTAGATAGTTCCCCGACACTCACACCTAACCCGAGTAATTCATCTAATGTACCAGATAAAAATATATTATCTAACTTCTCATTTTGCCTGATTCAGATGTTGCTCGTCTGAGTCCTGGCAGTCTGACTGTAACTTTTTCTGACAGATGTCTTCCACCGCAGTCAGGATTATTATGATAGGAGAAAGTTTGTAAGCCTTCATCTAGACTGTTGTCAGATTCTGAGTTTAAGCCTGTACAAAGGGTGGGGAGCCAGAAGAGGAACATGAGAACAGCTTACATGAGAGTGGCTCAGGGCTTGGTCAGCTTTCCGTGTTGAATGTTCCTGATCCAGAAGAGGACTCTATGGTTACTCTGTGGTGACCAATTGTTTCCCCAGGTGTCTAAGCAGTGGATCCGAGCCCTGGAGATTGGTGAAAGCCACGTATTGCCTCTAGACGAGATTGGGCAAGAAACCATGACTGTGACCCTTATAGATGCCAACCACTGCCCTGGTTCTGTCATGTTTCTCTTTGAAGGATACTTTGGGACAATTCTCTACACAGGTGAGCCAACCAAGGGATCCCTCTCCCTTCCCAGCTGCCTTTGCTCAGAAAAGCAGTCCTTGTGGCTTCATCCCATATAGGTACAGTAACCCTTTTCAACTGATTTTCTACTCTTCAATGGACCAAACCTTTAAACACAGGAGCAGGGGGACAGTGCATGCCTTTAATCCCCAGCACATGGGAAGCAGACAGGCTAATCTTTTATGAGTTCAAGGCCAGTGTGGTCTACATCGAGAGTTCTAGGACAGCCAACTTATATAGAGAAACCCTGTCTCTCAAAACAAAACAAAACAAAGCACCCCCCACCCAAAAAAAGAACAGCAAACAAACCAACAAAAGAATAGGATAGAGACATTTTCATAAAGAAGCTATACTGTACAGTTCAGTGCCAGGACACATAGTTTTTTCCATAAACCGGTGAGCAGTGTCCATCTGTTGCTGAAGGTAGGAGAGGCTTGGCTTCTATCTCTTGGGTTTTGCCCTCTTCTCCCACCTCATATATTATTCTTCCAGGTGATTTTCGATATACACCATCCATGCTAAAGGAGCCCACTCCAATACTGGGTAAACAGATTGATATTTTATATCTGGACAACACTAATTGCAATCCAGACCTGGTTCTTCCTTCCCGACAAGAAGCTACTCGGCAGATTGTCCGGCTCATTCGACGGTTCCCACAACATAATGTAAAGATTGGTGAGTGCCTCCTTTTCTTTCATTCATGCTTAGTGAATCTAAGTTCTTTAAAGGTGCTCGTTGTTTTCAAGTCTTTGTGCAGGTTTCTCCTTCCTTGTAAAACCTATGATTATCTTACTTAAAACTGAACCTCAACAGATGTGGAGACTCTGTTAGGACAAGTGTAGGGAATCTTGTAGAAAAGTGAGGGGAAGGATAAAAGGACCTGGAGGTGACAGGAGCTCTACAATAAGACCAACAGAGCCAACTTTGCCGGCGCCCAGAGGAGCTTGTGGAGGCTGAAGCACCAACCAAGGTCCATGCATAGACTGGACCTAGGCCCCTTACACAGATGTAACAGATAGACTGCTCAGGGTTCGAGTGGGTCCCCTAGAAAGAGGAGCTGGGGCTAACTCTGACATGGACTCTGTTGCCTGCTTTCTGATCACTCCCCCTGTTGGGGCTGCCTTGACAGGCCTCAGGAAGAGGATGAGCTTGGTCCTGATGTGACTTGATGAACTAAGGTGGGTGGGTAGAGGGGGGCTCCCTTTTCTGAGGAATAGAGGAGGAGAAATGGGGGAAGAGCGAGGAAGGGTAGGCCCAGGAGGAGAGGAGGGAGGGGACTACAAACGGGATGTAAAACGAATAAATAAATTACTTAATTAAAAAAAATAAAATAAAACACAATTGAACCTCAGGGCTGGAGAGATGGCTCTGCTATTAAGAGCACTGGCTGTTTTTCCTGAGGACCCGGGTTCATTTCCCAGTACCCACATAGCAGCTCACAACTCCAAGATCTGACACCTTCACACAGACATATATGCAAGCAAAACACCAATACACATAAAAAGTTATTTAAAAAATAAAAAATAGCCAGTCATGGTGGCGCACGTCTTTAGTCCAGCACTCAGAGAGGCAGAGACAGGCAGATTGCTGTGAGTTCAAGGCCAGCCTGGTCTACAAAGTCCAGGACAACCAAGGCTACACAGGGAACCCTTGTCTTGAAAATCCAAAAATAAAATAAAAATAAAATTGAATCTCCCGGCTGGCTTGGTGGCCTAAACTTTTAATCCCAGCACTCAGGAAGCAGAAGTAGCTTGGTCTATACATGAGTTCCAGAACAGCCACAGTCCTGTCTCAAACAAACAAATATTGAACCTGCCCACCACCCTCACTATTAAGTTCTCAACCCATTCCCCCCCCCCCCCCCAGCTCTGGCATTAAGTCTAGGGTCTCACATGTGTTAGGCATGCTGTACCACTGAGTCCTCTTCTTTAATTTTTAGTGCTAAGATTACAAGCATGTGCCAGAACAACCTGTTTGCATGATGCTGAAATTGAACCCAGGGGTTTTGCAAATGCTAGGAAAGCACTCTGTCAACTGAACTACATCCTTAGCTCCAAACTTACTTTTTTTCTATAGATTCATCACCTCCCAGTGTATTCTGTACATTTTAAAATATGACATTGCTTATATCGATGATAATGTATATACACACACACACACACAATTGTGAACTAAACTCTTTAAGAGCACTGCTTAAGAGCACAAGCTACTCTTCATTCCCAGCACCCACATGGTGCTTCACAGCCATCTGTAGCTCCAGTTGCATTGGATACCCTATCCAATGCCTCTTCTCACCTCCAAGGGCTCCTACACACATGTGCTACACTGACACGCACTCAAGCTCACACACACATATAAAATAAAGTAAATAAATGTTTTTAAAAAGAAAAGAAACCCCAAAGAAGTAGGAGGAAGTTTTGTATGTCAGGCAGCAGCCAGTATGACAGATACATGGTAGGCAGGGGGGTTGGGGTGGTATTCGCTATTTTGAACTTTATTATAATCTCAGTAAAAAGCTGTTGAATGGTTTTGCATGGAAGAGGAACGGTATTCCACTTGTCTCAATATATATTCCATAGTTTGCATGTTTATTCCTTTTACTTTTTACTATTTCTTTTGCTAGAATGTAGCTAGACCATAACAAGTGTCTTCATTTCTTATGGCTATATCCCAAGTGCCTACGTAATGCCTAAAAAAGAGGTAGTCAATAAAAATTTGCTAAGTGAATGGATAAAAAGTATGAAAAGTTATAAGATTGTTGTGCTTTGAATAGGTGCATTGAAAAAAACAGCTGTTTGTTTTAGTGACTGCAGTGGTACATAATGTTTTTGGGACTCTTTTGAAGTTGCTTTTTGAGAGCTAGTTTATGAAAACCAGCTTTTCCTTTAAGAAACATAACAGATTCTGTTCTAAATAACTTCTTTGCTTGCTCCTAAAATTATAGGTCTTCAAAAGAGGAAAATGAATATCTTAAAGCGTGTGTCCCAACTCTGAAAGGAGTTTCAAAAATGGCTTTAAGTAAAAATAGTGAAGAAATTATATACCTTCCAGGGTGACTACCAAACTTATTGAGAAATACTCCCTACCCTCAGGATTACTTAACTGCTCATGAAGAAATAATTGTTGCTGACCATTCTTGAAGTGTGATATGTGGAGTTTTCTCAGAGTAGCACAGCTGGTGAGAGAACAGACAGAACAGGTGAAGGAAAATGATCAGGAAAGTGAAGGTCAAAGAGGATGGCACTTGGGTTCAGCTGAGCAACCCCCTGCCCTGCCCAGAAAAGCATGCTTCGGGAGCCAAAGGAAAGGAGCCTGGGCTGATCTGTAACATCATGGCTTAGTAGATATAGATAAGTAAATGAATATGTATATAGGCTCTAGATTGTACAATTGAGTTTTTTTTTTTTTTAATTAAATGGAGGTGTGTTGTTCCCACACACACAAAGAAATATTTAAAGTTTTCACCAGCCGGCCTGGCTTAGTGTCGTCTGTCATTCACAGAAGCCTTTCCTAACCTCGTCAGCTAGTGGCTGTTCTCTGTGCCTTTGTAGCACTGTGCACCTGTGTGTGGCTGAGTCTGCAGCTGGATGGTACTCCTGGGGAGCTGGACCTTAGGCTGTCCATTTCCACAGTGCCTAGCGCTCGGTGGATGCTTTCTCTCGTGGAACTGAAGGAATAGATGGATTTTGTGCTCCACACTGGCATCTGCTGTATATCTTAAATGCATCTCCTTCTTGATACGCTTTCTATATTGCCATGTAGATTTAGTGTATTTTTTTTGCTAAGTATTTGGTTGATCAGGAGTCTTTAATAGCTTCATTCTCTTCTTTCTTTTACTTCTCCCAACCCCTTGAACGTAATTTAGGACTCTATAGCCTAGGAAAAGAATCACTGCTGGAGCAACTAGCCCTTGAGTTTCGGACCTGGGTGGTATTGAGTCCTCAACGCCTGGAATTGGTACAGCTGCTGGGCCTGGCAGACGTGTTCACCGTTGAGGAAAACGCTGGGCGCATCCACGCTGTGAACCATGTGGAGATCTGCCATTCAGCCATGCTTCAGTGGAACCAGACTCACCCTACCATTGCTGTTCTTCCCACAAGCCGGAGACTACGCAGCCCTCACCCCAGCATCTACATCGTCCCCTACTCTGACCATTCATCCTACTCTGAGCTTCGCACTTTTGTTGCAGCTCTGAGGCCTTGCCAGGTGATGCCCATTGTCAGTCAGCAGCCTTGTGGAGAGTTCTTTCAAGACATCTTGAGTCCCGGCTTCTCTCTGCCCCTGATTCCACACTCTGTGCAGCAATACATGAGTTCCTCTTCCAGGAAAACAAATGTGCTTTGGCAATTAGAAAGGAGGCTAAAGAGGGCAAGAACCCAAGGTGTTGTGTTTGAATCCCCTGAGAAGAACGCTGATCAGGTTAAAGTGGACAGAGACTCAAAGAAGCACAAAGAAGAAAACCTCTCTCCCTGGGCTGGGGAACTTGAGCCGCTCTGTCCCCTCCCTCTGCGGGCCAGGAAGCAGTTGTTCCCAGACCTCTGCTGGAAAGAGTGTGATGAGTCAGTCCTTATTTGTGACTCCAAGAAGATGGCGAATGTATTGACTGCCCCATTGCAATTTTCAGTGAAATTACAGCCTGTAGATGAGTTTTTCCCTCCAGAAACCCAGGACGAAATTGGCTTAGGGTCCTTGGTATCTACGGGAGGCAACAGCTCATCAGCCAGAGGAAACCAAAGTGTGTGGCTAGGCTGTGGTTCTTCCCTATCTCACATTAGCAAAGCCACTTATCTAGCTACTGAGTCCAGAGGCCTGGCGTTAAAATACCTTCTTACTCCAATGAAGTTCTTCCAGGCAGGGTTCTCTTCCAGGAACTTTGACCAGCAAGTAGAAAAATACCAGAGATCACAGTGTAACAGTCCTGTTGGAGCAGCACTGCAGTTTTGAAAACAGTGAAAGATGGCTAGTAGCAAAAGTTTGTTTGGTGTCCTCCCTTACAGAGTCCTGTGGCTCACCCTGGAGTAGCTTTTCAATGGAGTAAAGCTCATTTATGGAGTCCTGGTGCCTATGAAACCCTAAGTTTTAGAGCAGATTGTATTTTTATATTTTTATTACATTTAAGAAACAGTTTTCATTATAAACTATTCAGTGTTCATAAGCCCATTAAAAGTTCTTAGAAGTCCCAGAGCAACTTAATCTCTTCACCTTTGTTTAAGCCAGTTTTTCTCAAACTTTTATCAGCATGCAGTTGGGTGTTTTGTTTTGTGTAGAAAAAATAGAGTCTGAATCAAAATAGAACCATCCTATTCCTCAAGTCCCCTTCATTCTCTCCCCATATAAAAATCTCTGGGTTATTTATTTTCAAATTGTAAATCATTGTGCTGAAGGATAAAGTGGTATCCCAAGCTTGTTCTAATCCTGAATGTCACTGGCTTGCTGTGACCCTATCCAAGTAACTTCCTGTCTCTGCCTCACGAATGGAACAGGAAACCACGAAGAGGCATTGAAGCAGTGTTGAGAAAATAACACCTTCCTCCTTCATGAAGGGGTTAAGTAATGTCATGAGAAATCCATTTGGAACAGAGCCGTTTAGGGGTTTAGCACCCCACACCACGGTGGTGCATGGAAAAAGTTGAACATTAAGGTTTAGAATATGTCAGAGCTACTGGATGCTTGGAGACACTATGTTAAAATGAAGTACAGAAGATCAGATGCGCTGCCAAGTTTTCCTCTGGCTGTTCACATAGCAGGGATTTTTTTTTTCCTCACCCCCACACATTTGAGTTAAGGAACCAGAACACAGAGCCTGTTTGTTTTAGTATCCAAGGGAGAGACCAAGGAGCCAGCTGGCTAGAACAGGTCAGAGTGTGCAGTTCTACCCTGTCCTGCTCATAACTGACAAAATGCCAAGCCAATAGGCAAGACGGCTGATAGCAAGCCAGGAGGAAATGTGCTCTGGGAGGGCACAGGCGAGGAGCAGCTTCATCTTGGGACCTGGAGCCTGAGAAGTAAAGAATACTATCTCTTACCCTTGGGAAGGAGGGAGGAGTTTTGCTCTTTGAGGAGGGCGGTGAAGTTTAGAAAACAAAATAAGACTTTGCTCTTGGACACACTGTACTCAGTGCTGTTTTTGTCAGTGGCCTTCCTGTAAACCTCTAAGGGCCTGGGAGCTGCAGCAGGTGAGGCCTGCAGTACAACAGGAAACCTGGATATTGTCTAGGCTGGAATCCAGGACACAAGGTAAATTGTTTAAGTAGAGGAGCCTTACTCAGCTGTAATGTGGGGGCTGAGATGCCTGCCTCCTCCGGTGATTGCTATGCAGATTAAATTATTGGTAAAATTCCCTAGCTCATTGTGTGGCACATGACAGCATTTGAAATATTGGTCTTTGTAGCTAAAGGTATGGCTCTGTGTGTTTAGCAAGCTGAAATCTTGGATGCCACAAAAAAAAAAAAAAAAAAAAGCAATAATAATAATAATGTAACAGTGCTGGAGAGATGGCTCAGTGGTTAAGAGACTGCTCTTCCAGAGGTCCTGAAGTTCAATTGCCAGCAACCACATGGTGCCTCACAACCATCTATAATGTGATCTGGTGCCCCCTTCTGGTGTGCAGGTGTACATGCAGATAGAGTGCTCATGTACATAAAGTAATTCTTAAAAAATAATAATAACAAAGACTTGATTCTCTTAGCCTTTGGCCTTCAAAACAATTCTCTATAAAAATAGAAAGCAATATAAACTAATTGATGGGCTTTTTTCCCCCTAGTTTTTAGGAAAATGTAAATAAGTTAAATCTATACATTTTCAGAATTAATATAATTTGTATGTGTGTACATGCACATACACACACAATGATGATTTTTTTAAAAAATGTAAAGGGTGCTAGACAGATGGCCCAGTAGGTAAGAGCCTTTAATGTGCGCTTGAAGAGTTCAGGTCCCAGCACCACATCAAGTGGATCATACCTCAAGTTGCAGGGAGTCTAATGCCTTCTGACTGTGAACAACCGCACAAACTCATGCAGCCTCACATAATACACATACATAAAAATAATTTTTAAGGAATGTTAAAGGGGTCAATGAGATGTCTCAGTGGGTAAAAGCACTTGCCACAGAAACTGGTGAGAACCGAGTCCATAAAGTTGTCCTCCAGCTAATTGACTGCCGTGTAGTCGTACACAAACAATACTAGAAAGGGGGAGGAGTGAGAATAATACCATCTACTTAATTCCTTAATTGGAATTTTAAATGCCAAAATAAAAAATGGCTATTTTAATAGATGTCTTGTGACTACATGTTAATTAAACCATTCTTATATTACTCAGTGTTTGCATGCTGGTTTTTTTATCTTTTAGATTCATTTATGTGTGGAAGTGTTTGTTATGTGCACTACGCATTCCTGCTGTCCATGAAAATCAGGAGAGAATGTAGAATCCCATGGAACTGTATGGTTATGAGCCGCTTTATGGGTGCTGGCAATTGAACATGGGGGCCCTCTCCATGAGCAACAACTGTTCTTAACTGCTGAGCCATCTCTCCAGCCCCTTATACTGTTTGTATGCATACTACAAGGAACTTCTCTCTGGGCAGTGCTGGGGATCAAACTCAGAGCATTGAGCATGCTAGGTGAATGCTTTGCCAGTGAGCCATATTTTAAGCTTTACTACGAACACACACACATGCCTTGCATTTTAATTTTCCGCTTGGAGTAAATTATTAAAGTATCGGAATTAAAGAATTACTGTTTTCTGTTCTTGATGCATATTGTGACAAATAACCATCTAGAAAAGTTTCCATTATTTCTGCAGAAGATGATAGCGAGTTCAGATGAAATCACTAGAATGACACATTAACATGAGTCAATCCATCTTGTAATAATAGTTTAATAATATGTAGTGCTTACCGTTCTGAAAAAAATTTTGCAACTCTCTCACTTCTAGTTGACCCACAGGTGGCTGGAAGAGATAAAGTAGGTCCTAGCATCAGGGCCACCATATTGCTGTTATCTTCTAGCAACAAGGAGCCTGCCCACTTTTGTTATATGCTGTGTCATACATGTTCCCGAAGAAGCATTTATGTGACTGCAGATGAGAGCAGAAGGAAACGCTTTGAGGAATTTAGTTTTGAGTAGTGCTTTCATGCTTCAATAATGAGAAAATCCCATACCATTTTACCAAAGTGAAAATGTCTGGCATAATAGAGGGGGGCAGTTGCTTTGATTTCTCAGAACTCCCATATATAACAATACTGTGTCCCATCTATCTGTAAGTCACCAATTAAAATTACCTTATTTTTAGAATCTGAGAATGACCCTTTCTCCCCCAGATACATGACAGTCTTGCAATTAGGTTGGAAAGTGCCTGGAAAAAAAAAAAAATCCCTGGAGATTCATTAGTAACTTGTTTCATGATCAGTGGGAGAACTTGTACTTTTCCACAGGCTCAAGTCCTTTACAGGGGAAAAAAAAAAATCTGCCTGGTAGGCTTTGAGGGACCATCTCTCACAACTGACCCAAATTGCCCTTCATAGTAAGAAATAGGAGACATGTGAGTTGTTTTGTTTTTTAGAAAAGAGATTCTGACCTAGGTTCTCCAAGGCAACTCCCAAAGAGACAGTTTTTTTTTTCTGCATTCCTTTCTTTTTTTTATTTACCTTATTCTTTGTGTATGAGTACTTCCTGCATGTATGTCTGTGTACCACATGCATGCCTGGTACCTGAGGAAGTGGTGAACTTCCATGTGAGTGCTGGGAATTGAACCTGGGACTTTGGAGGAAACAGCAAGTGCTCTTAACCATTGAACCAACTCTCCAGCCCCTCTTTTTGCATTCTCAAAGAGGTTTTTGGCTTTGTTTGTTGCTTGCTTGTTTGTTTGGTTGGTTTTTTAAGTCAGTTTCTCTCTGTTGCCCTGGTTGTCCTGGAACTAGCACTATAGGCCAGGCTGGCCTTGAACTTAAAGATCTGCCTACCTCTGCCTCCATAATACTGGAATACCTGGCTCTTGAATAGTTCTTTTTTTCCCCTCTGGTTTTTTGAGATAAGTTTCTCTGTGTAGTCTTGGCTGTTCTGAACTCGCTTTGTAAACCAGGTTGCCCTCGAACTCACAGAAATCTGCCTGCCTCTGCCTCCTGAGTGCTGGGATTAGAGGCATGCGCCACCAGTGCCAGTTCTGTGTGAGGATCCACGTGCAGAGTTTTGCTGCTACCACTAATGAGCTTTCTGTCTATTGCTTGCCTTTCAAAGAACCCCCACCAGAAACTTCTTTATCAGTTCATGGTGCTTTCCCTTTCTCTTCCCCAGGGCATCCCTCCTATAGCTGTGTTGAAAGTGCTTCTGACGTGTCATCAGAGTCTACACTGCCTATGAGGGATTCTCAAAATGGTTTGTCTCTTGACCACAGTGTTTTTATTTAATGATAGCTCTCTACCTTGACTCTCTCATTTGTGTTTAAGTTGTTTTCTTTATTATTTTAAATTATGTTTATTTGTCAGTATGTGGGCACATGAGTATCCACAGAAGCCAGAGGCATTGGATGCTCTAGAATTGGGGTTGCAGGAAGTTGTGGGTTGCAGAATGTAGGATCTGGAAATGAACTGGGGTTCTTTGGAAGAGTAGCAAATGTTTATAACAAATGACCCATATCTCCAGCCCCTGCTTTCTTGTTTTTAAACATATCCATGGCCCACTGGATATGTTTAAAATATATAAGTCTTCCTTTGAGCTCTTAGGAGAGAGAAGGGTGTTCTACAAAGCTCAAAGGAAAGTCTCAAGATTTTCCCCAAATCTTGGCCTGTTTCTTTCTAGACAGATAGCTTATTGAATCACCTTTCAATCATAGAAAATTTCTGACTGAATGTAGGTTAGTCATTGTAACCAAAAGGGCTGTTACCTGAAGCACCCAAGGATGCAGCTGTCCAAATGGAAAAGTATTTGAGTGAAATCATGGTAAATTTCAAATGTTATTGTACTGAGTAAGTTTAACTGGAAAATCTTCAGACAAGGGCAAGAGCCAAAAGAAGGACATCGATCAGAGGCTCCAAATCTTGAGAGAGTCGCACAGAGCAGAGCAGGCTGGGATGAGCGTTTTAGAACACTGAAGGTATATGGGGCTGGATGATATGCTTAATCTGGTTCTAGCTTCTGTACCATCTTTAGAAATCATTAGCTTTTGGATTTCTTTTTAATGCCCACATAAGGAAGGTGGAACCACTTCTGGAAGAGAACACACAAACTAGTATCACCACAGATTTTAACCTGTGGTATCTTCAAAGCTGCTTTTTACTTCTGTGTGTCCTTGATCCTTCTGCTGTGTGCCTCAGTGGCTATCCCAAACCTTTATGACTTAAACTGTTGCAACATAGGAAGCTGTAGGAAGAAATCAAGAGTACCATGCCATAACATCCTGAAGCAGTATCCTTGAAATGTAGAACATGTCTGGCTACCCACTGTTATCCCAAGGATGGCAGAATTAAATTATTCTGTACTTTACAGCTCAGTTTAAACCTCAGTCATGCAGGAGTTCAAGTCTGTAAGGTCTTCTCCTCACCTATTCCTTCCTTCACCAAGTTTTCAGGTCTAACTCTTGATTTAAGCAAATTTGTCTTCAGTATCTTAGAGTTGCCTTTACCTCCCATACCTAAATTGAAGACTGGCTGTCCTCTGAGCACACAGCTTTCTGACCAGCCTCTGAAAGACAAGCCACTTTGCCCAATGTGATGGAATGTTCCTCTAATTCCAGCACTTGGGAGGTGGAAGCAATAGGATCAGGAGTTCTAAGGTCATTCTCAGCCACATAGTAGGTTTGAGGCCAGCCTGACCTACGTGAAGCCCTATTTTATCCTTACTAGTCTCCCATATAACTGTAGAACACCCTTCTCTCTCCCAAGAGCTCAAAGGAAGTGAAGTTGCAATCCTCCTTGATCTCCTTGCTGCTTCCTGTTACCCTATGTCTTTCTGTGATCATCTGTCTCTTAAAATGGATGCCATTTGGCTAGACCATCCTTGCCTCTCCTAGTTTACTAAGACCTGAATCACTAACTCAGAACTTTCTTCTCCTTCATAACTCTGTCATCCTGGATGAGGCCAGTGCTGCAGCTGCTCAGGTGCTTTGACTTTTCATCTCTAAAGCTTTAATCACCCGTCACCACCCTGTCATTACCAGACATTGTTCTGTACCTGGAATTTCAACTTGAAGTCTTTTATTCTTTCAGTTTATTTGCTCAAGTATCTCCATGGCCAGTGTCTCACTTTCATAACCCTCCTGTAAGCTCCAATTCCTGTCTTTGACTGTATACCATGATCCATCAGGATAATGCCACTCCCTTGGTCTCTCTTATAAAAATAGCCTTGTCTTGAAAAACTCCACATCTGGATAAATCATACTATCTCCTCTGCCAGAGCAGCTGGATGTTTCTGGAGAAAGAACTCACCCGGGCTGGGTTTGTTTGTTTGTTTTAAAACAAGGGCTTGGGAAATGCCTCAGTGAAGTGCCTGACCTGAAATCATAAAACCTGAGTTTAGAACTCCAGTACCCGGGCGATACAGAATGTGGAAGCATGTGTTTGTAATCCTAGTGCTGGGAAAGTGGAGACAAGCAGATCCCCAAGGCTTGCTGGCCACTCGTCCTACTTCCAGGGTCAGTGGAAAACCCTGTCTCAAAATAAGATGGTGCCAGGTGTGGGGGCACATGCCTGTAATCCCAGCACTCAGGGAGGCAGAGGCAGGCGGACCTCTATGAATTTGAGGCCAGCCTGATCTACAAAGTGAATCCAGGACAGCCAGGGCTACATAGAGAAACCCTGTCTCAAAAAACAAAACAAACAAACAAACAAAAGATGGGAAGAAATTGGGGAAAACACCTGACATCAACCTCTAGGCCTCCACATATGTGTGTACACAGGGATACACACAGCTTTGTAGAGCAGGCTGGCCCTGAACTTGCTGTACTCTGCCTTAGCCAACTGAGTACTGAGGTTACAGGTGGATACCACCATAGCTAGCCTTAAAATTTCCTTATTTTGGTTGTGTTATAGTTGTGAGTTAGATCTCCTGGAACTGGAGTCTCACGTGGTTGTGAGCTACCATGTGAATGCTGGAAATCAAACCCCAGTCTTCTGCTGAGCCATCTTTCCAGCCGCCTGTAGAGAAATTTAAATTCAGAACATGGCTGCTCTGGCAAGAAATCACATTCAGACCTAGGTCTGTGTGGTCCAGTTGGAATATGCTGGATCACATGCTTTTAATCCTAGGAGACAGAGGCAAGCAGATCTCTGAGTTCAAGGCCAGCCAGGTATAGAACAAACTTCAGGTAAAGAAAAGCTTAGGTCTAGGTTTTTACACACCTTTAATCCCAGCACTCAGGAGAGAGTGGCATGCAGATTTCCAAGTTCTAGTCAGTGCTCTTCAGGAGGTCAGTTGAATCAGTGAGCCGAGAGGCAGTGCATTGGAGTTGAGTTTGTGGAATTCAAGGCAGTTTTTCCTGGAAGAGTTTTACAGAGACAAGTTGAAGAGAGAAAAAGCTAGACACAGGTGAAGACAGAACAAGCCAGATAATGAGCCAGAAGATTAGAACAGTTTGCTAGAGTTTCTTTGAGGCCAGGCAGGGAAATTCACAGGCCGAGAGACCAGCCAGATGGAATAAGTCAGCTTGGAGAGGAGTTTGAGCCAGAACAGCTGAGTTGAACCAGCCAGCCAGAGTTCAGGAAGAACTAGAAAGGGTGAGCTTACTCAGCAGTAAGTCT